GCCCAATGATTACTAATGTTAACATTCTGATTGATGCCCAATGATTACTAATGTTAACATTCTGATTGATGCCCAATGATTGCTAATGTTAACATTCTGATTGATGCCCAATGATTGCTAATGTTAACATTCTGATTGATGCCCAATGATTGCTAATTTTAAAATTCTGATTGATGCACAGTGATTGCTAATGTTAACATTCTGATTGATGCCCAATAATTGTTAATGTTAACACTCTGATTGATGTCCAATAATTGCTAATGTTAACATTCTGATTGATACCCAATGACTGCTAATGTTAACATTGTGATTGATGCCCAATGATTGCTAATGTTAACATTGTGATTGATGCCCAATGATTGCTAATGTTAACATTGTGATTGATACCCAATGACTGCTAATGTTAACATTGTGATTGATGCCCAATGATTGCTAATGTTAACATTCTGATTGATACCCAATGATTGCTAATGTTAACATTCTGATTGATGCCCAATGATTGCTAATGTTAACATTGTGATTGATGCCCAATGATTGCTAATGTTAACATTGTGATTGATACCCAATGACTGCTAATGTTAACATTCTGATTGATGCACAGTTATTGCTAATTTTAACATTGTCTCTTGATATCTCTGGATTCAGGAGTAAAATTCTCTCTCTCTTCCTCTTTCTCTTTCTTTCTCCCCTGTCTCTTCCCCCCCCCTCTCTCTCTCTCTCTCTCCCTCTCTCTCCCCTGTCTCTTCCCCCCTCTCTCTCTCCCTTTATCTCTTCCCTTTCTCTCCCCTGTCTCTTCCCCCCCCCCTTTCTCTCTCTCGCGATCTCTCCCTCTCTCTCTCCCCCTGTCTCTTCATCCCCTCTCTCTCGCTCTCTCTCCCCTTTCCTCTCTCCCCTCTCTTTCTCCTCTCTCTCTCTCTCTCTCTCTCGTGCGCTCTCTTCCCCTCTCACTCCCCTTTATCCCTCTCTCTCCCTCTCTCTCTGTCCAGCCACACAGACTCTCATGTCCAGCCACACAGACTCTCATGTCAAGCCACACAGACTCTCATGTCCAGCCACACAGACTCCCATGACCAGCCACACAGACTCACATATCCAGCCATACAGACTTCCATGTCCAGTCACACAGACTCTCATGTCCAGCCACACAGACTCTTATATCCAGGCATAAAGACTCTCGTGTCCAGCCACACAGACTCTCATGTCCAGCCACACAGACTCTCATGTCCAGTCACACAGACTCTCATGTCCAGCCATACAGACTCTCATGTCCAGCCATACAGACTCTCATGTCCAGCCATACAGACTCTCATGTCCAGCCATACAGACTCTCATGTCCAGCCACACAGACTTTCATGTCCAGCCACACGGACTCTCATGTCCAGCCATACAGACTCTCATGTCCAGCCATACAGACTCTCATGTCCAGTCACACAGACTCTCATGTCCAGCCATACAGACTCTCATGTCCAGCTACACAAACTCTCATGTCCAGCCATACAGACTCTCATGTCCAGCCACACAGACTCTCATGTCCAGCCATACAGACTCTCATGTCCAGCCACACGGACTCTCATGTCCAGCCATACAGACTCTCATGTCCAGCCACACAGACTCTCATGTCCAGCCATACAGACTCTCATGTCCAGCTACACAAACTCTCATGTCCAGCCATACAGACTCTCATGTCTAGCCACACAGACTCTCATGTCCAGTCATACAGACTCTCATGTCCAGCCACACAGACTCTCATGTCCAGCCACACACTCTCGTGTCCAGCCATACAGACTCTCATGTCCAGCTAAACAAACTCTCATGTCCAGCTAAACAAACTCTCATGTCCAGCCATACAGACTCTCGTGTCCAGCCACACAGACTCTCATTTTCAGCCATACAGACTCTCATGTCCACTCACACACACTCTCATGTCCAGCCACACAGACTCTCATGTCCAGCCATACAGACTCTCATGTCCAGCCATACAGACTCTCATGTCCACCCACACACACTCTCATGTCCAGCCATACAGACTCTCATGTCCAGCCATACAGACTCTCATGTCCAGTCACACAGACTCTCATGTCCAGTCACACAGACTCTCATGTCCAGTCACACAGATTCTCATGTTCAGCCACACAGACTCTCATGTCCAGTCACACAGATTCTCATGTCCAGCCACACAGACTCTCATGTCCAGTCACTCAGACTCTCATGTCCAGCCATACAGACTCTCATGTCCAGTCATACAGACTCTCATGTCCAGCCATACAGATTCTCATGTCCAGCCATACAGACTCTCATATCCAGCCAAAGAGATTCTCATGTCCAGCCTTACAGCTGTTGTCCTTGCATGAAAATTTCCTGTCCACGTAGCCAAGTTGACCATCTTAACTAGGCTTTATTCTGGGGGTAGGGCTTATATCAAAAGCATTCTAGAACTTTTGACCGGGCTTTTTTGGGGGGCAGGTATTATGTTCCGGGTAAACACGGTCGCACTACGAGAAACCATGAACAGACGTAGCGGAAATCGAAGAGAGGCCGGCCGTGCAAACTGTCGACAGAGGGAATAGCAGTCTGTAATAAAATCTCGGATGATTCTACCACTGTTAGTGTTTTGTGTTCGACTTCGTGGTATTCTCAAGCTGTTGATCATTACAGTCTGTTGTTGGTGCATATATTACTTTATCGAAAGGTTTTGCTTTAGTTTTCATTGATATCATTTTATCTTTATCAGCCCAGAATCCACAGAATTAACTTCTACTAAAAGTCCTAATCGTCGCATATGATGCTCGTCCCCCAGAATTAATCAATGCTTAGTCATCCATCTTTATGTAGCTAGGATCTGTCCGTCCTGTTTCTGATACATCCCTCTTTATGTGGATAGGATCTGTCCATCTTGTTTCAGATACATCCCTCTTTATATAGCTAGGATCTGCCCATCTTGTTTCAGATACATCCCTCTTTATATAGCTAGGATCTGTCCATCTTGTTTCAGATACATCCCTCTTTATATAGCTAGGATCTGTCCATCTTGTTTCAGATACATTCCTCTTTGTGCAGCTAGGATCTGTCCGTCCTGTTTCTGATACATCCCTCTTTATGAAGCTATGATCTGTCCATCTTGTTTTTGATACATCCCTCTTTATGAAGCTATGATCTGTCCATCTTGTTTTTGATACATCCCTCTTTATATAGCTAGGATCTGCCCATCTTGTTTCAGATACATCCCTCTTTATATAGCTAGGATCTGTCCATCTTGTTTCAGATACATTCCTCTTTGTGCAGCTAGGATCTGTCCGTCCTGTTTCTGATACATCCCTCTTTATGAAGCTATGATCTGTCCATCTTGTTTTTGATACATCCCTCTTTATATAGCTAGGATCTGCCCATCTTGTTTCAGATACATCCCTCTTTATATAGCTAGGATCTGTCCATCTTGTTTCAGATACATTCCTCTTTGTGCAGCTAGGATCTGTCCGTCCTGTTTCTGATACATCCCTCTTTATGAAGCTATGATCTGTCCATCTTGTTTTTGATACATCCCTCTTTATATAGCTAGGATCTGCCCATCTTGTTTCAGATACATCCCTCTTTATATAGCTAGGATCTGTCCATCTTGTTTCAGATACATTCCTCTTTGTGCAGCTAGGATCTGTCCGTCCTGTTTCTGATACATCCCTCTTTATGAAGCTATGATCTGTCCATCTTGTTTTTGATACATCCCTCTTTATATAGCTAGGATCTGTCCGTCCTGTTTCTGATACATATCTCTTTATATAGCTAGGATCTGTCCGTCCTGTTTCTGATACATATCTCTTTATGTGGCTAGGATCTGTCCGTGCTGTTTCTTCTAAGACATTCAGATTCACAATTTTCACCTCAGAAATTATACAGTCCAATATTTATACTTGGTAAAGGGCTGATACGTTCCACGTACCAATACGTATGTATTTCTTTCTTTCTTTTTTCTTTTTTTTTTCCTTCCCTGATAGGTTTTCTCAGAATGCACCCTTTTATGTTGGCAGTCAATCGTCATTATGCTCTACGGTGGACATTACAGACGATGACTCTTCCAGGTTTCTATTTACCATAGGCATATCTCCACTTCGCCATAGGCATATCTCCACTTCGCCATAGGCATATCTCCACTTCGTCATAGGCATATCTCCACTTCGCCATAGGCATATCTCCACTTCGCTTTAGGCATATCTCCACTTACCATAGGCATATCTCCACTTCGCCATAGGCATATCTCCACTTCGCCAATAATGCTTCAATAGTTTTTTTTTTTTTTTTTTTTAATTATGTTTCTATTGCCAACTCTTTACTACAGTGCCTACAGATAATAATTACCATTTACATGTTCTACAACTAACAATGTCTTAGAAGTGAAAGAGTTAAGGAAAACGAACCGTTTAATTTTTTTAGGCTTTCGGCAGATTTGGGAGTAACAACGTAGTCTCCACGACAATTAACTGGCAACAACAACAAAGGACAAATCAAGAAAACAATCGATTTAACAGTTTTCAAAATATAAGCGAACTACACATGGAATAGATTAAAGACCTGTTAGTAGTGATGTCTTGTCTGGTGTCAATCCTGGTGTCTTGTCTGGTGTCAATCCTGGTGTCTTGTCTGGTGTATGTCTGAATGTCAAGTCTGATGTCAGTCCTGGTGTCTGTCTGAATTTCGAGTCTGGTGTCAATTCTGATGTCTTGTCTGGTGTCTGTCTGAGTGCCGAGTCTGGTGTCAATCCTGATGTGTTTTCTGGTGTCTGTCTGAATGTCAAGTCTGCTGTCAATCCTAGTGTCAGTTTTGTGTCTGATGTTTTATTATTTTATTTGATTTCTGTGTGAAAGAGAATCCGTGGTCAGTCCTGGTGTCTTGTCTGGTGTCAGTCTGAATGTCGAGTCTGGTGTCTGTTTGAGTGCCCAGTCTGGTATCAGTCCTGTTGTCTTGTCTGGTGTCAATCCTGGTGTCTTGTCATGTGTTTACATTGCTGCCTATGATGACTTCTGTTTCTGCGGCCTGCTTTCTGATCTAGCCAGTTTTTGAATCCGCTCACGGTACCACTGACCAGCACACATGCCGTTGTGAATGCAGGCAGTGATGACCACACACAGCATGACTACCTTGGTCCAGGGAGCTGGGGACACGAAAACATACAGAGACAGAGTTACAGGTCGTTGTGTTGCAGTCAAGATTAGTTTATGGAGAACAGATGATATACAGGCGCCTACAAGATTAACTACAATCAGAAAGAGGGGAACTACGACATTCAGTTGACGAAAATACAGAAATAAAATGGTAATAAATAAAGTAGATTATCATTAGTTAATGAAGAACATTTAGATATAATGTAAAAGAAAAGGAGAAGAGGGGAAAGAGGAGTAACAGAATGAAAGATATACAAAGAAAGCAAACGTCTTTTTGCTTCTTCTTTTTTTTCTTCTTTTTCTTCTTCTTTTTCTTCTTCCTTTTCTTCTTATTCTACGTCTTCTTCTTCTTCTTCTTCTTCTTCTTCTTCTTCTTCTTCTTCTTCTTCTTCTTCTTCTTCTTCTTCTTCTTCTTCTTCTTCTTCTTCTTCTTCTTCTTCTTCTTCTTCTTCTTCTTCTTCTTCTTCTTCTTCTTCTTCTTCTTCTTCGTTGTCGTCGTCGTCGTCGTCTTCTTCTTCTTCTTCTTCTTCTTCTTCTTCTTCTTCTTCTTCTTCTTCTTCTTCTTCTTCTTCTTCTTCTTCTTCTTCTTCTTCTTCTTCTTCTTCTCATTTACCTGATGTTAACTATAGTAGAAACTCCTGGTTTTTTGTCAGTTTCTGGATGTATTCCAGAATTTAGTAATGCGTGCATGTCTTACATAACCTTATATCTCCCTCGACACCCACAGCGGTAAAAGAGGAAGCGAAGAAGAGAAGAAGAAGTGCATGTCTGTTTTACATATCTTGCTCTTGTATACAGAACAGTTAATTCCTTGCTCCTCGTGCAACCGCGTTATATACTGTTCAAAAACAACAACAAAAAAGAGAGAGAAAAGCATAGTCATCAAACATCCAATGGCGCGTTTTTATTAGTTTGTAAATAAAATATCGTACTCGGGTATGTGAAACTCAGAAATAAATGTTGTTTACCGTGTCCAGTGGACATGTGGGCATGAATTGGTTGGGTTTTTGTAATTTTTACAACGCAGTGGTCAGTTGTGTTTAAAACCACATTTGCGAGCACTTCTCACGATGCGAGCACGAGAAAGCAACACAATTTGAGGTGAACACTATCCACTGCCTACGCGATTGAAAACCCTACAAAAGGAAAACGCTTCACCAAAATGATCAGTTCATTTTCAAGTAGTCATGAATGCGCCTCTGTTCGTACATTTAAGAAATATTGCTATTGGCCAATTGCCGGCAAGAGAAAGTCAAAGTCAGGTTGCCAGGCATCTAAACGTGCATCAGAGTAAATGGCTGCTGACGTTCAGAGAAGTCATTTCTTTACAGATATGTTTTACTGATGCAAATTTTCTATTCCTGGACCAGGAGTCAAAAGGCTCGCTGACTACTTGGTGTGACACTCTAAGCTGCGGATTGTTTGTGCAATGTTGTTTCTTCTGGGCCCACGGCGAGTTGTTCAATGCATCAACAAGGGCGGTGGGCGAATACATTGACAATGACGGCTTTCGCGATCGACCGTTCACGTCAACAAGATAAAAGAGGATAACCCCACATATTTGAGAATAAAATTCGACAAAAAGGGTAACCTAGGGCCCCACATTGAAGACACCCAAAGGGAAGCTACCCTGCGGCTCAGACTTATGAAGAAACTTACTGGAACAAGCTGGGGCGCAGATGCCAACACTGTATGATAAGTAAACCCAGATCCAGACATCAATGGGAAGAGAGGTCACTCTCATTGTTGGCTCTCTTAGCGTGACTAGAACCGTCAATACATATATCATTCGACAAATCTCAATCTCTGTGTGACAGTCTAGGTCATATTGCCTACACTTATATCTTTCGAAAAATCTAAATTTCTATGACAGTTTAAGTCATACTACCTGCACATATGTTGTTCTACAAATTTTAATCTCTTTGACTTTACTATAAAGTTGTAACAGACCGTTACTTTAAACACTTACATAATGTTACATGAAACACGAACACAATGTTACATAAAATGAAAACACAACATTACATGCCATGCTAACATCGTACCCCGTATAAAAAGCTGTTCCGTCATTTTCCAGCCAGTTGTCTCTCTAAAGAAGAAATGGGACATAATCAATCCACCGATGATGTAGCAATGCATAGCCAGGATGACTTGGATCCTCAGATACATGGCTGGGCCCACTCGTGACTTCTGCCAGGTCAAAGGTGAACATCAATTAGAAACAATGCAACACATTTCTGTTTTGATTTGTTAGATACAACTGTGTTTGGCATTCTCACTACCCTCCTACCATTTCTATAGTTGTTGAGTTTGGTCCTACTTTTCCTATTATGTGCTGGTATTATCATTATCGTCCTGATATTTCTATAGTTACTGATATTCTTAATTTAGTCCTACCCTTCCCATTGTTGCTGGGATTCTCAGTTTCGTCCTAACCTTTCTACTGTGTGCTGCTTTCGTAACATCGTTCCACACTTTCTGTGTTTGCTGATATTTTCAGTATCGTCGTACCATCTCTCTACAGTTGTTGGGATTCTCAGTATCGTCCTGTCCTTTCTATAGTAGTTGGTATTCTACGTATCGTCGTACCCTTTCTATAGTTGGTATTCTAGGTATCGTCGTACCTTTTCTATAGTTGTTGGTATTCTAGGTATCGTCCTACCCTTTCTATAGTTGGTATTCTAGGTATCGTCGTACCTTTCTATAGTTGTTGGTATTCTAGGTATCGTCGTACCTTTTCTATAGTTGTTGGTATTCTAGGTATCGTCCTACCCTTTCTATAGTTGGTATTCTAGGTATCGTCGTACCTTTTCTATAGTTGTTGGTATTCTAGGTATCGTCGTACCTTTTCTATAGTTGTTGGTATTCTCAGTATCGTCCTGCCCTTTCTATAGTTGTTGGTATTCTCAGTGCTGTCCTGTCCTGTCTATTGTCTGCTGGTATGCTAGGTGTCGTCCTGTCCTGTCTATTGTCTGCTGGTATGCTAGGTATCGTCTAACCTTTTCTTATGCTCGTTGTTTGCCTTCTATTAATCCAGTTGACTATATAATCATGTGCCAGGGTCAGACGGGTCCCTGGCAATCCTCAACTCTAAACACTTCTGCCATGTTCTGCTGTAGATCCAATAGCTTCTTTACATGTACCTCAGAGCTTGAACCAGACAGTTTGGTCACTTGTACACGGACTCCTAGCAATAACATGTCTGTAATATCATATGTCAGCAAAGCTGCAGTAGTGTTTTGCTGGCAGGCCGGAGGCGTTGACTTCGCGCCCCAATCGAGGCTGGTTTGCGTTTGTTACTCGCCTTGATTTCCAGGCCTACCCAGCTTGAAATGGATACCTGGTAATGTTCTAGGAAGGTAAAGCGGTCGGCAGGGATTTGTACACACCACACATCGATTGGTCTATAGAATTTCATTTGACAACAAGATCCTGGCATCAACATGAAAACAATCATTCTTGACTAATGTTGGGGTGATGAATACGAAAGTTGCACTAACATTTATTAGTGGTTTAGAGTCGAATTTGGATGATAGTTAGATGAGGCTATGGATTATATTAGGGATGCTCATTCGATATACTATAAACGGTTTATAGTTGGTAATAATAATAAAGAAGACCTGCTGTTTTGTAAAATATATCAGTGCAGCAGAGAAGGCTCAGGACATGTTCGAGATTCTGGATACATTCATATCTAAAAATTATTTGAATTGGCCTAAATGTGTTGGTGCCTGTATTGATGGAGCTCGCTCCATGTTTGGCTGCTATGGGGGATTAGAGGCGCTTATTCGAAACAAATCTCCAAATGCACTGTGGTCCTATTGCAATATTCACAGAGGATCGCTAGCGTTCAAGCATCTCAGTCGTGCACTGGATCAGCTTTTAGAATGTGTGGTCAATATGATACATTTTATAGAATCTCGTCCGTTAAAATCAAGTTTTTTTAACAACTGTTTACAAATATGGGAGCTGAACACTCGTCTTTGTTGTTCTATAGCAGGGAAGGATGGCTCTCTCGTGGTCATGTTTCATCACGTACCTTTGAATTGTGACAAGAAATTTGTATTTTCCCTTAAGAAGACAGTTTTGAAAATAAATGCCTTAGAAGAATAGTAAATTCCAAATGGTCAGATTTCCGAACAAATACACAAATAAGGCAAGAATCCAGGCAAGAGTATGTGTCTAATTTTATACGAAAACGCCGCTGGAACTATGTCGGCCACACCCTTAGAATGGATAAATCAAGACTTCCTTACCAAGCCCTCATTTGGACACCACAGGGGAAAAGATCTCGTGGAAGACCAAGGGAAACCCTACGTAGAACTATCATCAGGGAAGGCTCGCTCATGGGCCACTCAAACATCCAAGACCTACAACGGATTGCAACGAACCGCCATGCATGGAGAGTCGTGACCTCTGCCCTATGTGCCGCACTCGACACAAGAGGAAAGACTAACTAACTAACTTAAGAAGAATGATACATAGATTCGGAATATTTTGCTGATGCCAATTCTTTAAATAAGACTGGCATTTTTATGCCACATTTTTGAAAAGCTGAATTCTCTTACTTGCTCTCTGCAAGGTAGGGGGGGGGGGGGTGCACCTTTTCAAATCAACAGAGAAAATATCAGCTTTTATTTTTTTTTAACTCGACCTATGGAGGGAAACATCAGTGAAGATACAGGCAAAGATTTTTCCAATATTACAACAATTTTTGACATCAAATACATTTGATCTTTCTCGAGACATAAAACTATGCTTGGGGAGCACTGATCACAGCTAATTATATAGTTTTAGAAATATTGTCAGAATTAAAACGTCGATAAGTTTTCATGGATTCAAGATCCATTTAAAACTAGTTCTCCGTCTGAATTTACTTCCCCAGAAGAAGAGAGTTTTTTTTTTTTTTTTGCGTTATCTTGCGATGACAGTTTGTAGGCAAACTTTGGCTACATGGAATTGACAGAATTTTGTATTTCAATAAAAGATGAATATCCCCGTTTAAATGATAAACCTGAGAGGATTTTAATTCCATTTTCGACTTCATATTTGTGCGAAGCTGGGTTTTCGGCGGTCGCTATAGAGCAAAAATCACCGTGGAAAAGGAAATGAGGGTGTCCGTGTCTACTTTGATTCCACGATTTGAGAAAATGTGCAGTGATTTATAACCCCATCAATTCCAACAATGGGTAATTTAAGATTAATAAAGAGAAAAACAACTAACACACAAGTTTTGTTTGGTTTCTTTCGCAGCCTTACGCATAGTCATACTTTTACCTAGGTTGCCGTGGAAAAATATTAACTGAAAAAAGTCGCGTCTAAGAAAAATATGGGAAACACTGAGGGTAATCAGCTGTACACAGCCAATATTTAACACTGACAATTGTTTACAAGGATATCAGTTTGTTGACTCACCAGTGTCTTCAAGAGTGTCCCCTTTTCCGCCTCACCAGCCAACACTTGGAGGCAGTTGATGAGGTAGTTGACCATGAACAAGATGGCTGTGTTCAGAGACAGGCTGTGCCAGAAGATGATGAACGTGAAGCCTACACCGGAAGCAAAGAGCTGTCTCAAAATCCCAGCTCGTGACCCACCCAAAGGGATGTATATGTGGGTCTTGGTAAAATTGTATAAACCAACATCAAAGCACTTCCAGATGTCTGCGAATGAGTAGACCCAGCTGAGACATCGTGGTCTTGCCACTGGAGAAAGGCCGTCAAATCGACAGATCTGAGATGCTAATCCATAGAAGACGACATACTTCATCATGAAATACTGGCCGTGCCAAAAGCCTACCCCAGCTACTGCCGAATATGTCGTCTGTTCAAATAGAGCTGGATTGCTGGCAATGGCGTTGTGGTAGAGGAAGTGTGCCTGGAACTCCAGAAAGACGAACCAGAACGCTATTCGAAGTATTTGCTTCAAAATGTCGCAAGTATCTGGAGAGAAATGTTGGGAGAACATTGCTTGTTTAATCTCTCTGTGGAAGCCTCTGTAGATTAGAATAGGACCAAAGTGAAAGGTTGGCCAGTAGAAACAGTATAATAGCAGATCACACAGAGAGGGGTCACTGTCCAGTGGACCTGTTTCTGGGACTTGGGTCAGGCTAGTGGGTTCGTGGTTTTTAATCATTGCCATGTTCTCTTGGTCAGTGGGATTATTCTGACCACCACTGGAGCCTGCAGATGAGAGTGACTGTTCCAGAGGACCGACTGATGCTCGTGCTGATTGAGATGCTCGTGCCGCTTGAGATGCTCGATATTTGGCCTTCTCAAGGCCAAAGCTGACGATACGAATGTTAAAGAAACCGGCGATGACCACAAAATGATAGTAGCTTGAATACCGGGTCAGCCAGGGGACTTTCATCTGTGGATGATGTTCAATGTCAAAGTGTGAAATTCTTCATCTAATGGCCCCAGTTAGGGAAATCATGTCATCTAATGACCGGAGCTGGGGACATACTGTCATCTAATGAGCGGAGTTAAAGACATCCTATCATCTAATGACCGAAGTAGTGGACATCCTGTCATCAAATGAGCTGAGTTCGGGACATCCTGTCATATAATGAGCGGAGTAGAGAACATCCTGTCATCTAATTAGCGGAGTTAGGGACATCCTGTCATCTAATGAGCAGAGTTCAGGACATCATCTCATCTAATGTGCTAAGTTCGGGACATCCTGTCATCTAATGAGCGGAGTAGAGAACATCCTGTCATCTAATTAGCAGAGTTAGGGACATCCTGTCATCTAATGAGCGGGGTCCAGGACATCCTGTCATCTAATGAGCAGAGTTCAGGACATCATCTCATCTAATGTGCTAAGTTCGGGACATCCTGTCATCTAATGAGCGGGGTCCAGGACATCCTGTCATCTAATGAGCTGAGTTCGGGACATCCTGTCATCAAGTGAGCGGAGTTAGGAACATCCTGTAATCTAATGATCGGAGTTAGAGACACACACACAAAAAATGATCGGACTGACATATGTTTGTTGTCCAGCTGTCTCCATGGATGAACAGACTGACACATGTTTGTTGCACAGCTGTTTCCATGGATGAACAAACTGACACATGTTTGTTGCACAGCTGTCTCCGTGGATGAACAGACTGACATATGTTTGTTGCACAGCTGTCTCCGCAAAAGGACAAACTGACATATGTTTGTTGCACAGCTGTCTCCGCGGATGAACAGACTGGCATATTTTTGTTGCACAGCAGTCTTCGTGAATGAACAGACTGACATATGTTTGTTGCCCAGCTGTCTCCGTTGATGAACAGACTGACACATATTTGTTGCGCAGCTGTCTCCGTGGATGATCAGACAGGTATATGTTGTTGACCAACTGTCTCCGTGGAAGAACAGATTGGCATATGTTTGTTGCCCAACTGTCTCTGTGGATGAACAAACTGGCACATGTTTGTTGCACAGCTGTCTCCGTGGATGAACAAACTGGCACATTTGTTGCACAGCTGTCTCTGTCAATGAACAGACTGACATATGTTTGTTGCACAGCTGTTTCAGTGGATAAACAGGCTGACACATGTTTGTTGCCAAGCTGTCTCCATGGATGATTAGACTGACATATGTTTGTTGCACAGCTGTCTCTGTGGATTAACAGATTGACACATGTTTGTTGTACAGCTGTCTCCGTGGATGAACAGACTGACATATGTTTGTTGCACAGCTGTCTCCGTGGATGAACAGACTGACATATGTTTGTTGTACAGCTGTCTCCGTGGATGAACAGACTGACATATGTTTGTTGTACAGCTGTCTCCGTGGATGAACAGACTGACATATGTTTGTTGCACAGCTGTCTCTGTGGATGAACAGACTGACACATATTTGTTGCGCAGCTGTATCCGTGGATGATCAGACAGGCATATGTTTGTTGCCCAACTGTCTCCTTGGAAGAACAGATTGGCAAATGTTTGTTGTCCAACTGTCTCTGTGGATGAACAAACTGGCACATGTTTGTTGCACAGCTGTCTCCGTGGATGAACAGAAAGGCATATGTTTGTTGCCTAGCTGTCTCTGTGGATGAACAGACTTGCATATGTTGTTGACCAACTGTCTCCGTGGAAGAACAGATTGGCATATGTTTGTTGTCCAACTGTCTCTGTGGATGAACAAACTGGCACATGTTTGTTGCACAGCTGTCTCCGTGGATGAACAAACTGGCACATGTTTGTTGCACAGCTGTCTCTGTCAATAAACAGACTGACATATGTTTGTTGCACAGCTGTTTCAGTGGATAAACAGGCTGACACATGTTTGTTGCCAAGCTGTCTCCATGGATGAACAGACTGACATATGTTTGTTGCACAGCTGTCTCTGTGGATGAACAGACTGACACATGTTTGTTGTACAGCTGTCTCCGTGGATGAACAGACTGACATATGTTTGTTGCACAGCTGTCTCCGTGGATGAACAGACTGACATATGTTTGTTGTACAGCTGTCTCCGTGGATGAACAGACTGACATATGTTTGTTGTACAGCTGTCTCCGTGGATGAACAGACTGACATATGTTTGTTGCACAGCTGTCTCTGTGGATGAACAGACTAACACATGTTTGTTGCACAGCTGTCTCCGTGGATGAACAAACTGACATATGTTTGTTGCACAGCTGTCTCGATGGATGAACAGACTGTTGCACAACTCCGTAGCTAAACCGACGTTTCTTCATTCACTCTAGAGTGTTAACTCTGGTATCTATTACCTAGAGGCTGGGTGATCCTCGGGAACCACCCAGTTTCAAACACCGGTCGTTGTCTGCAGCGAGTCGCAGCTGGATTTAAAAGTTAGTCTCCTATCGACTGTGCTAACGCGGCCCATTGGTATTTATGTATGTATGTATGTATGTATGTTTGTATGTATGTGTCTGTGAATGCGTGCATGGGGTGGACTGGTAGATAGGCGTGTGTGTGTGGCTGGGCTAGATGTGTGTGTGTGTGTGTGTATGTATTACGTACTTGTTTATGTACTTTCCTACGTACCTACATACACACGCACGTACGTATGTGTGTATGTATTATATACGTACGTATCTATTGATTTATTTGAGTGTGTCTGTATATGTGTAGCATGTAGAATTTTCTTCTTATGAAAAGACCAACTGATTTTTTGCGTTTTTGTTGGCATGTTCATATTGCCAAGAAATTTCTTGCTATGCATCAAGTTCCTTCCTATAGCAAATTGAGCAAGTGGGTACCTTTGTTGACTTCGTAAGTCTTCCCACATTTTGCAGAGGACATAAATGAAACTTTATGTTGATACTGACAGTGGAAATGAACATCAAGGCAAGCGAGTTTCTTTCTCCAGTTACACAGGACTTATTCTCACCTAGAAGTTGTCCACACTGACTGCACAATTAAGTTTTTACAAATTGAATCCGAAGCTGAAAGTCGACAAATAGAAAACCAGTGAGCTCCTTCGCTTTATCAAATTCGCAGTTTGATAAAGTGGAGGAGCTCACAGGTTTAAGGCCCTAGATTGATTTTAGAGCGCATCGCCAAGAGTCCTCACATGGGGTGAGATCTGGCGGATGACCCCGTTGCGACTGAGCTTTATCGTTCGTTCGGCGTACGATGTATTACCGTCCGGTGTTAACATGGTTAAATGGTCTGCGACCAACGATCCGACTTGCCCGTTGTGTAAATCAAAGCAAACTCTTGAGCACGTCCTGTCCGCGTGCAGGAAAGCCCTAGGTCAAGGCCGATATACCTGGCGACACAACAAGGTGCTAAAAGAGTTAGCAGCCGTTGTCGACCAGGCTAGAATGAGGGCTAACGCCAGAGCCAGTTCTAGTAACGTCCCCATTCGTTTCCTCAAGGCTGCGCAGGTTCCAAAAGGTAAGGTCAACCAAAACGCATTCGCTCCATCTGTGCTAGACTCTGCGAGGGACTGGTTACTGGCGGTTGATCTGCCGGGCCATGAAAGGTACCCCGAGTTGATCCGTAAGACCGGCCTGTGACCGGACATAGTTCTCCACTGCGCAAAAACGCCAGCTCATCCTGATTGAGTTGACCGTCCCGTTTGAGTCGTGTATGGAGGAGAATCACATGTATAAGCTCGAGAAATACAGTGATTTAGCAACCGGTCTGAGGAGAAACGAGGCGTACACAGTACGGGTCTTTGCCGTCGAAGTGGGAGCGAGAGGCCTCGTTTCCACTTCGCTCTACAATGTGGTTAAAGAACTAGGATTGCGCATTAATGAACGGAAACGAACACTCAAAAAACTGGGAGAGGTAGCAGAAAGGGCCTCTAGCTGGCTTTGGACGCAACGCAACAAAGTAGGGGACGGGCCTCGGTGAGCTGGTCCGGGTGTCTAGTGGAAAAGGGTTTCTCACCCCTTGAAAGTCCATCGTGTCCGAATTGTCTGCCAGTGATCCTCTGCCACCTGCTAATTAAAGTCCAACATGTGTCCGGTAAACAAATCGTAAGCTTGTCGCTCGGTCGTCCAGGCACGCTGACTGCTTTAATTAGGCTGCCGCGGCGACTTCTTATCTCACAATACCTTCTGCGAAACCACCAAGTCGTCTTGTCTCTGGCCGAAAGAAAAACACCATCCGGTAATCTCGTGCAGCAGGGAACCAGCCCTGAGCTTCATGAACTCAGGAGGGCCCACCTCCGAATGCGTCTAGGAATCGTGGGCCGAAACGCGTGTCGACGAGGATAATTTCTACTGATGACTGGTAGATCCCTGCTGTACTTGCTCCCTGTGAGTTTATTCCTATAGAAGCAGACGTAGATGGTCGGTTTCTATCATCAAAACCACAATGTCCTTTCTTCCAACTTCTTGTTCGTGTTTCTCAGTGTACTGTTTCCCATGAAATTTATGTTTTCTTGGTCTATCGCCTCTGTTTACATTTCTTCTACCCATGATTACACAATTTATTGTCTCAACTGTAAAACTATTTTCAGAGCATAACAACAAATATGGCGGACGGCGTCTCTCAGAGACAGTCGTCTTTTTTTAATGAGACGAGTGCTCTGATTGGTTGAACAAAGCATTTCCTCAATAAACGGACCAATGAAAATGTGTCTTTCATGCCTTTAGCCTTGAACAATTCTTTGTATGAGCCTTATAAAACGGAACAATTTACAACTTAAATGAAAGCCCCACTCTGGCTTTTGCCAGGGGCCGCAATATAGGCAGGTCATCATTATGGCCAAATGTCTGAACGCGGTTTCTGGGACCTCTCCACGGTGATCCTCATCCGCATGGTGGCACTTTGTGTCATCGGGTGTTTATCGCTTGTGTGATGTCCTGGTGGGGTAAAAAAGCCAATCCAGCCAGACAGCCAACTTAAATGAAGAAGTATACTTTTCTCGTCCTTATTAGGACGAAATTTTTGGTTATTTGAAGCCCTACCCTGGCTTATGCCAGGGGCCGCAATATAGGCAGGCCATAAATATGGCCAATTGTCTGAACGCGGTTTCTGGGACCTCTCCACGGCGATCCTCATCCGCATGGTGGCACTTTGTGTCATCGGGTGTATATTGCTTGTGTGATGTCCTGGTGGGGTAGAAAGTCAGTCAGTCAGTCAACTTAAATGAAGTCTCTAAGTCAACTACAAGTGGAGAAACATTTTTTTCACAGTTGTTGCATATGTAATAAGCTTTAAAACTTAGATAAATTAGATTATACTTGCTTCAGCAAATGCAGAAATAGAGCTTTAAAGCACATTTTTTAAAGCTCCGTTTGCAAAGATGTTTTCTATTATGGATAATTGTGAATTGTGTACAGAAACCCAAAATAGTCCAAAATTACGATTTCAACTTTGTCCCTCTCCTTAAAATTAAAAAAAAGGCTCTCAACTTTAGTGTACAAACTCCGTCAAGAGAGCAAGAATCCTTAACTACCATATTCAAATTAAACAGACTGTACGAATCAATATCGATGAGGCGGCCATGCCAGCGTCCATGCCAACGTAGTTGCCATACTTCAGCCGGAAACACAGCACCACACAATAATTACACACACGTGGGCTGCCCTGGGGTATATGGCAGTAAAATGTCCAGTCATCATATGTGTGTGTGTACTTGCGTGCGTGTTGATATTATGCATGTGTGTATGTGTCTATATGTATACGTATGGTGTATGCGCGAATGTATGTATGTGTTTATGTCTGTAAGTATGTATGCGTGTGAGCTGTGTGTGTGTGTCTGTGTGTTGATGTGCGTGTGTACGTGCAAGCAAGCGTGCCAGTGTATGTGGAAGTATTATGTATGTATGTATATGTGTATGTATATATGTATGTATGTACGTGTATTATGAAAATGTATGTGCTGTGAATGGATGAACGTACGACTGTACATTTAAGCGCACATGAATACAAACCCAGATTTCGAGCACAGAGTCCCAATAATACATCATGGCGATGGCCACGGACCAGACAAGCCAGGTTTTCCCCGCCAGGGAGACCACAAATATTAGTATCGCTGAGAAGACGAGAACTGCCAGAGGTCCTCCGCCCAGCAAAATGTAGGCGGAAGTCAGGTCCACCGTTATCAGAGTGTAGGCATGTAACTGCAGACAATTACATATGTATTCATTACTGTGGTTAGAGTCTAGGCGTGTAACTGCAGACAATTACATATGTATTCATTACTGTGATTAGAGTCTAGGCGTGTAACTGCAGACAGTTACATATGTATTCATTTCTGTGATTACAGTGTAGGCGTGTAACTGTGAAACTAGACATGTGTTAATCACCGTGATCATCATATAAGCATGTAACTGTTCAATTACACATGTGTTCATCATCGTGATCAGTGTGTAGATATGTAACTGTGAACAATTACACATCTCTTCATCATCGTGATCAGTGTGTAGGTATGTAACTGTGAACAATTATACATGTCTTCATCATCGTGATCAGTGTGTAGATATGTAACTGTGAACAATTAATCATGTATTTATCACTGTGATCACTGTGTAGGTATGCGACTGGGGATAATTTAGGTCTGAACTGAAATCGCAGATGATCTCGTGTAGGTGAAGGCGCACACCACGCTGGCACATGATGCTAGTCCTCCTGAAACCGTAACAACCTGCGTAACGTCCCGGCTAAAGACAAGTCGGCTTTAGAGTCAGTTGTCAGGGTATCACCGTAACTCCCAGATAATGACCTGCAACAGATGAATGTCGTCCCAAGCAGATCATGTCGTTGGTGTACCTGTTTGGCCTTCACGAGCTTTAGGCCACGACACGTCAGGTGGCTTGCCAGTGCCGCTCTTCCTTCCCAGGAGATTGCGTACAAATTATGGGAGCTGCCCGACTCCCAGTTATATGAGGCAGGGTTAACCCTAATACTATACTGGTCGGAAAAACGTATCGTGTCATTCATCGTATCAGTGATCGAATACGGAACGTTTCGCAAAGTCTAAAGGGTTGTTAAGTTGAGTTGAGTTTAGTCGAGTCAAGAATTGACATCACAGCACTCGGGGCATTCCCATGCGTGCTCCGTTTTCATCTTTAGCAGCCAGCTTAGAGTTATTCTAAAAGGATGTACGTACAGAATATAACGTGTGGCCGAGTGCTCGATATTCAGGGGTAGCTCATCTATAGAAGGGTCAGCAGGTAGCTCTCTAGCTAACGTGCATACCTGCTGGCTCTGTGATCAACGGTTCAATCACGGTCACGGCTTGATACAATGGATCCGGTTTTGCAGCTCCACCTAGCCTCAAACTGGTCAGGAAGAGGAATAAACTCACAGGGAGCAAGTACAGCAGGGATCTACCAGTCATCAGTAGAAATTATCCTCGTCGACACGCGTTTCGGCCCACTATTCCTAGACGCATTCGGAGGTGGGCCCTCCTGAGTTCATGAAGCTCAGGGCTGGTTCCCTGCTGCACGGGATTACCGGATGGTGTTTTACTTTCGGCCAGAGACAAGACGACTTGGTGGTTTCGAAGGAGGTTCTGTGAGATAAGAAGCCGCCGCGGCAGCCTAATTAAAGCAGTCGGCATGCCTGGACGACCGAGCGACAAGCTTACTTTGGTTTACCGGACACATGTTGGACTTTTATTAGCCTTTGGCAGAGAAACACTGGCAGACAATTCGGACACGATGGACTTTCAAAGGGATGAGAAACTCCTTTCCACTAGACACCCAGACCAGCTCACCGAGGCCCGTCCCCTACGTTGTTGCGCTGCGTCCAAAGCCAGCTAGAGGCCCTTTCGGCTACCTCTCCCAGTTTTTTGAGTGTTCGTTTCCGTTCATTACCGCGCAATCCTAGTTCTTTCACCACATTGTAGAGCGAAGTGGAAACGATGCCTCTCGCTCCCACTTCGACGGCAAAGACCCGTACCGTGTAACCCTCGTTTCTCCTCAAACCGGCTGCTAAATCACTGTACTTCTCGAGCTTGTACAAATGATTCTCCTCCATACGCGACTCAAACGGGACAGTCAACTCAATCAGGATGAGCTGCCGTTTTTGCGCAGAATGGAGAACGATGTCCGGTCGCAGGCCGGTTTTACGGATCAACTCGGGGTACCGTTCATGGCCTGGCAGATCAACCGCCAGTAACCAGTCCCTCGCAGAGTCTAGCACAGATGGAGCGAATGCGTTTTGTTTGACCTTCCCTTTGGAACCTGCCCAGCCTTGAGGAAACGAATGGGGACGATGCTAGAACTGGCTCTGGCGTTAGCCCTCATTCTAGCCTGGTCGACAACGGCTGCTAACTCTTTTAGCACCTTGTTGTGTCGCCAGGTATAACGGCCTTGACCTAGGGCTTTCCTGCACGCGGACAGGACGTGCTCAAGAGTTTGCTTCGATTTGCACAACGGGCAAGTCGGATCGTTGGTCGCAGACCATTTAACCATGTTAACACCGGACGGTAATACATCGTACGCCGAACGAACGATAAAGCTCAGTCGCAGCGGGTTCATCCGCCAGATCTCACCCCATGTGAGTACTCTTGGCAATGCGCTCTCCAGGCTGACCCAATGGCCCTGCTGCGACTGCTGGGCTGCTTTCTGGACCCGAACCTCGTTTTCGTTGTCCCTCACCGTTTGTATTACCATGTCTCGGCGCTCTTTGGCTGAGGCCTTTGACCACCAATTGACCTTCCCGTGCCCTAGGCCTCGACGGTCGGTTTGAGTGTATCCCATTATCTCCTTCAATTTTAGTGCATTCTGGGCAGATTCTATCGCATCGAGGACCCTCCACTTCTGGCCAGTCTTTAGAGCGGGCTGGACAGCGATGACATTTGGGTCTGAAGACTGGCGCAAGAGCATGGCGAGCCTTACCTTGCCAACTTTAAACTCTTCGGTTATCGATTTGAACGGAAGTACCAGCTTAGCCTGTTTGCAATACAGAGCCACGTCGGTCAGACAAGGCGGTGCACCAATCCACTTTCTCAAGGCTGTGTTGATTTTTTTCTCCATGGTTTCCACTGCAGTCATCGTCACCTCGTAGACTAACAGTGGCCATAGGAGCTTTGGAATCAACATGAATTGGAGGACACCATACCTTGAATTTTCCGATCAGCCTGCATCGCTCGATCGCGAGCAGGCCTGTAGCCAGTGACTCATGTATTCGCCGGACCTCCGCTCTATCAGATAACTTCGAATCGTAAACGCGACCGAGACTCTTCACCGGTTCCTCCAGAACCGTAGGGATCTTGTTCCTTGCCACCGTAAAACTGATTGCCGACACCTTGCCCCTATGGATTGACAGACTCCTCGACTTCTGCGGTTTGAACTGCATACCGCTCCATTGGACCACAGCGTCCAATCTTTTCAGGATCGTGCGTGCAGACTCCTCGCTGCCCGTTATTATAGTCGTGTCATCCATAAATGCGCGTAGTGGCGGCAACCAGTGATTCCCTATTTGAAGGCCCTGTCCGTAGCCGGCCGCCCCGTCTAACATGATCTGCATTGCCATGACAAACAGTATAGGTGAGATCGTACAGCCCATAGCTATCCCAATCTGCAACTCAGTCCACCTCGTGGTAAACGTCGAGGTAGAGAAGCGCAAAGCGAACTTGGAGAAATATTGCTCGATCATTTGACTGATCTGTGTCGGTACGTGAAACATGCGAAGGGCTCGCCACAGTAGCCTATGGGGGACTGCCCCGTAGGCGTTGGCTAAGTCTAACCATATTACGTGCAATTGTGTTCTCTCATGCTTGGCTCTCTGGATAGCCTCCCAAATCATGGTCGCGTGTTCAAGGCACCCAGGAACGCCTGGGATACCACCCTTCTGAACACTCGTATCTATGTACTTGTTAGTCATCAGATACTGTGTGAGCCGGCGAGCCATGACCGAGAAGAATATTTTACCCTCGACATTCAACAGCGAGATGGGCCTGAATTGGGAAAGACTCTTCGAGTCCTGCTCTTTGGGAATGTAGACCCCATTTGCCTTTGACCACTCTGGACATATGTGATTGCGGATCCACGCTTGTCTCAACAAGACGTGAAGCATTTTTAGGATTTTCGGGCAACGCTTGTAAAAAAACGTACGGAACACCGTTCGGACCTGGGGCAGACTTGCCGCTGGCTTTTTTCACAACTTCCTCAACCTCAGACCAAAGGGGAGGTACCATTTTAAATGGTACCTTCGGCACCGAAGGCTGTTTAAGACCGCTAAGGATCTCTGGATTGTCATCGAGAGGCTCTCTCCTCTTTTTATCAGAGTACATCTTGCGTAGATGTAGCTCAAGTTCTTCCTGACTGACAACCAGAGTCCCAGACTTCGGTTGCTCGAATAGACCTCGGGCAAACTGATACGGGTCCCTAAAGAATTTCTCTCGCTCCCTTTTGGTTCTACGTCTGTTGTTACAGAAACGCTCGGCGCGGCAGAGGGCACCCTGTTTGTTCTTTAAATGCAACCAAACTTCGTACAGCCCCTCCCGTTCGCTGCCTGTAGAGGCTTTGAACTGTTTTCTGAGGGCATTCTTGTCTGCCCGACACTTCAGAATGTCCCTCTGCCTCCTGCTAGTATTCTGCTTGGCACCCGGCTGTGCCTTCACTACTGTCCCGAACTCGCGTCAGGAAGAATAAACCACCTCTGTGTTTTATGCTAACTTGTAGATCCAAATATGAGGCCAGCACCATCTGTTTGTTTTATGCTAACTTGTAAATACAAATATGAGGCCAGCACCATCTGTTTGTTTTATGCTAGCTTGTAGATACAAATATGAGGCCAGCACCATCTGTTTGTTTTATGCTAACTTGTAGATACAAATATGAGGCCAGCACCATCTGTTTGTTTTATGTTAACTTGTAGATACAAATATGAGGCCAGCACCATCTGTTTGTTTTATGTTAACTTGTAGATACAAATATGAGGCCAGCACCATCTATTTGTTTTATGTTAACTTGTAGATACAAATATGAGGCCAGCACCATCTGTTTGTTTTATGTTAACTTGTAGATACAAATATGAGGCCAGCACCATCTGTTTGTTTTATGTTAACTTGTAGATACAAATATGAGGCCAGCACCATCTGTTTGTTTTATGTTAACTTGTAGATACAAATATGAGGCCAGCACCATCTGTTTGTTTTATGTTAATTTGTAGATACAAATATGAGGCCAGCACCATCTGTTTGTTTTATGTTAACTTGTAGATACAAATATGAGGCCAGCACCATCTGTTTGTTTTATGTTAACTTGTAGATACAAATATGAGACCAGTACAATCTGACTGTTTTATGCTAACTTATGGATTTGAAAACCTAAAGTCCAGTCTTCATATACTGTTGTGGATATCAGCTGTAAAGGTAGGTTAAGCCAAAGAGATAAATCAAAAGTACCAACCTGTGGCCTGACCTTGCAGTAAAAACATATTTGTGACGTCATGACATGCGCAATTGTGGCTAGAATCTTTACAGTGTGCCTGCTTTTCCACAGCTCGAACTCTCTGTCGGACTGATCCTGAAACAGTTAAATGTGAACTTATCAGCCACAGCGAAACACAGACTTGATCATGGGAAAGGTGTTCCATATAACTTGCAGACAAGTAGGATCAACGATACAGACGTGATTAGGGGGAGAGGTGTTCCATATAACTTGCAGACAAGTAGGATCAAAGATACAGACGAGATCAGGGCAGATGTGTTCCATATAACTTGCAGACAAGTAGGATCAAAGACAGACGTGATCATGAGAAAGATGTTTCATATAACTTGCAGACTAGTAGGATCAAAAACACAGACTTGATCATAGGAAAGATGTTCCATTTAACTTGCAGACTAGTAGGATCAAAAACACAGACTTGGTCATGGGGATGATGTTTAAAATAACTTGCAGACAAGTAGGATCACAGACAAGATCATTTTCAGCAATCAATATTTTAATAATATATAAGGGAAAAATAATGTATAATGAATAATAATCATAAATTGCAGTCATGAGGGCTAACAGACTGCAACGGCTTCTGCACATAGAGAGCAAGACAGCTACAAGAGGGAGAGAAAGAATGCGTACATAAAAAGGTTCCATGGTAACAGACCACAAATGCCATGATGAGGTTATTTACATGTAGACCTTGAAACGCTAACCGTGGTGTAGTGGCAAGATGCTGGCTCTAGCCTAGAATGTTGTAGGTTCAAATCCGCATTAAAACAAAAAATTTTAAAAGTCACATTGGTTTCCAGGTCGACCTAACCTAAAGTGGGGGCAAGGTAAAGTCATGGGAAGTAAAGGTGGCCGGTGGGATGTTGACTACATGATCGATGTAGTGCCGATTGGTTTATACAGTAAAGATCTAGCACTATATACCCTATACGCATGAGGGTGTGGAAAATTGTAATTTGCTATAAACACACGGAGTCACTAACTGGAAACAGTTAATTGTGCATTCTGCAAGTTACAGACTAACTAACAGAGTGTATTCGACTAGTCACGATTTAACTAACAGTTTGTTCAATATACAGCGAACATATAATGAGATCTTTAATTGATATGCCAGGAATTATGGTTGGTGGGCACAAAATAAACAATTTACGTTATGCTGATGACACAGTCTTGATAGCAACAAGTCAGAAAGAACTACAGGAAATGATAGACATTGTGTTGTTGGAAAGTGGAAGAATAGGCCTCAGTTTGAATAATGGGAAGACAGAAGTAATGGTGGTATCAAAGAAACAAATTATTCCTGAATGTGTAGTAAAAGTCGTTGGTGTTATTTTAGGACAAGTACAGAAATTTAAGTATCTGGGCACATGGATAACATCAGATGGAAGATGCATAATTGAGATAAGAAACAGAATAGGACAGGCAAAAACTGCATTTTATAAAATGAAAAACATCTTGTGCAATATATCGTTGTCATTGAGAGTTAGAAAAGGAATTCTTGCTTGCTACATACATCCAGTTTTAACATATGGCTGTGAATCCTGGACAATCGGCAGGCCGGCCAAACAATTTCTTGAGGCCTCAGAGATGTGGTTTTACAGAAGAATGCTTAGAATTCCTTGGACAGCAAAAAAAGAGCAACCAAGAGGTTGTGAAAGAGGCGGTAGCCCGAAGACAACTTATCACAGACATCAGAAGGAGACAGTCATCATTTTTCGGTAATGTTGTGAGAAGAGGGAAAATAGAACACGTTGTGACCACTGGAAAGATCTGTGAAAGGAGGAATAGAGGAAGACAACGAGAGAAGTGCTTGACTGTCTTGTTGCATGGCATGGAGGTGTGTCGGCACACGAACTGATACATGCTGCAGGAGATCGCAGATTATGGAGAGGCATGATCGCCCATGCCAGAAGTTTCTGCCAGAGTTTACAGCCAGTGTTCACGAAGCAAAAGCCAATTCACAAAAATTAACACAGACCGTACAACTGCAAATATGCATAAGAAGTAGATGAACAGCCAGAGGTTTCTGCCAGAGTTTACAGCCAGTGTTCGCGAAGCATGGTTGAGGATTAATATTATTAGTGTACTGCTACAACATATAATTATACTGTTAGTCAACAATTAGTAAAGAGGCAAAGAGTGACTTGCTGTGAGAGGTTATTTAGTAAATTAAATATAATTTTCATCCACTTACCCAGAGCTCCGAAATATCTTGACACTATTTATCCACAGTGTAGTTGCACTATTTATACACAGTCAGTATGAAAGCAATATCGTGTATATCCACTTCACAATATCCGCTTGTCGATTTGTAATACGAATACATTCAGAACACAGAACTTCATAAGCACATTAAAATGTCACACGATGCAACACATAGAAAGGGCTTCCAGTAACCAGTTTTCGAAGGACTCCTTTCAAAAAGTGGGTCATTTAGTTGTGAGGCAGAGGCGGTTGGGTCTATTACATAGTGTATTCACGACTAGGTACGGCCTAACAAACAGAGTGTATCCATCCCGGTCGACTAACAGAGTGTATTCGGCGAGTTGGGTTCAACTAGACAGATGTATTCAACTAGTTACGGCTGAACTAGACAGCGTTGGTCCATAACTAGACAAGATGGGCGCACCACTCACCTGATACCTGCCAAGCCAAGTCCATCCCGTGACAATTGTTTGAGCGATGAATTTGGCCGTTCTCTGAAAAGACTAAATAAAAGAAGACTGTTACGTTGGCGTTGATACAGGGCCGCTGATTAAGACCAGAAATAAGCCAAAGAGTCCGCTAGGATTCAACTGAAGGGAAAGCACCGCTAGAAAGAATGATTGTCACTTCAGAAATTAAATTATAGATGTTTCTCGTTGATGATGGTCATTCTTTGGGGCTGCACTTTCTGTGTGACCTTCCAGCAAGGGCCATATCTTACATCATGGGTGTCTACTGCATAATTAGAAATATATGAGTCTCGTCATATTCACCAAGTCCAAAGTCGAGTTTCAAGTCCTAGCCACTAAGTCCCAAGTCGAGTCTCAAGTCATATTCACCAAGTCCAAAGTCGAGTTTCAAGTCCTAGCCACTAAGTCCCAAGTCGAGTCTCAAGTCATATTCACCAAAACCCAAGTGGAGTCTTAAGCCATAGCCACCAATAAGAAGAATCTTCACAGGAAAAAATGTACAGCAGGAGTCTACCAATCATCAGCAGAAGTAATTTCTCGTCCAAAACTGTTTTGGCCCACGAGCTCCTAGACAATTTCAGAGGGTGGGCCTTCCACAATTCATGAAGCTCAAACTTGAACTGCTCCTGCTGCACGTATTATCAGATTTTCTCAGACAGGGACAGGAAGAAAATGGTAACTATGCAACAGGTACTGTTAGATTCGAAGTTTATTTACATAGTCGCTGCGGTAGCCTATTAGATCAGTCAGCATACCTTGACGACCAAGTGGCAAGCTTACGGTTGGTTTATCGAACACATGTTAGATTGTTGGCTATTGGCAAAGGGACATCGGCAGACAATTCGGACACGATGGACTTAAGGGATAAGACTTTCTTTTCCACTAGATACCCGAACTAGCCTACCGAGGCCTGTCCCCCACGAGGTTCCGTTGTGTCCAGAGCCACCTCGAAGTCCTTTCAGTAGCTTCGTCCAGTTGTTTTAGTGATAATTTGCGCTCGTTTCCTCGCAAGCCCAAGTTTCAAGTCAAGTCTCAAGTCAGCAAGAATGCTTTTAAGTCTAGCCCGAGTCAAGTCACTTCATGTATACAGTCATTGGCAAGTCCTGCATGAGACAATGCTTATGGATTTAGCTAGTTAGTCTGTCAGAATATTCAAAAGAAAACCAATTGGTAAATTTTGATTTTGTATGTAAATAGCTGACCTAAATGCATACAACTGCACATTTAAGTTATTCTTACTTTATTAAATTTGCAGAAAACTGAAAAGTTGTCTTATTATTTTATTAATTTTAGATATCCAAAGTTCACAGTTGGCGTTCTCGAAGAACGACTGTACAAAGTCGCTAAACTACGGTATTATTCATGAAAGTCACCCCATTTCGTTCGACTGCGAGATTTCGCGGAGTTTTATAAGAGCTGTCTAATGTTCTAGGGATGTTTGTGTTGAGCACGTTCACCACCGACGAGAGCCACCGCCAACGAGCGTAAAAATACAAAAACATCGTTGCCTGGAGACTCGCCAACACGTCGCGGCTTAGGCATTCCTTCCTTCCCTTCACCCCCCCCCCCCCCCCCCCCATGTAGTACCTCTTACTGGCACACAAGCGACTGCAGGGCCTGAAGTACTCACAACAACACATTCCTCAAACAAAAGTATTCTGCGATATATGAGTATTTGTGCACGTATATTTTAAGGTATGCATTTGTCGTCCATGACTTTGTACTTTTACTTTATATTCATTCAATCAGTTTTGAGATGTGATCATTATACGCTTGATAAATCTTGTTTTTCAGAAATTGTCATCAGAAAGATAAACGCTTGAAAGGAACTAATGTAAGGTTGGCCGGGGTGCCCGATTTGTAACTTTTTGGAAAGAAAGATTTTTGTTTGTTCTGTCAGTGTTTCCATCCTAGATTTCATGGTTCACATCTTGCTCAGCTGTTGTCATCATTTCCTTCGAATTATGTCTCTTCCAATTATATCTCTTCCAATTATGTCTCTTCCAATTATGTCTCTTCCAATTATGTATAGACATAATGAGAGAGGAAGGGGAGAGAGAGAGGAAGATATAGACAGATAGAGAGCTGGGAGCGGGAAAGAGATAGAGGAGGGAGGCAGATAGAGGGGAAAGAGAGAGAGAGAGGAGTGGTGGACGAGAGGAGAGAGGAGGGTGGGAGGGGACGAGAGAGAAGAGACTGTTAGAGAGAGAGAGAGAGAGAGAGAAAGACAAAGAACGACTGAAGTTAAGATTATGAAAATATTGATTCAAACACATCATGAATATTCATATAACATAAATCAGTAGTTTTCTTGTTCTGAGCGGTCACAGGCCCTGCAATCTGACTGAAAGTTTTGGCTGTTCGTCCATTTCTGGACTGGAAGGACATTTATGAATTGTGGTCTTATTCCAGAACTCGAAGTTCGCGTGCACAACCGTTAGGCAGATCTAGCTTATTGGTATGCTGATTGTTGGTCTCTCATCCCTCATTCCATTCCTCTCAGACTTAGGAAATTTCCCTAATTAGTCGCTTGGTAAGTCACCCTGTACGACAGACATCGTTAAGTAGATAGTGGATCTATTCTCCCCCCCCCCCTCCCCAGCCACACCCTCTTCTTTCCCTTTCCAGAATAGAGCCGGGAACCAACTCATTCCAGTTCTAAAATATATTTGACTTTCAAGGAATCTGCCGGTATGGTTTGACCTAAATATCCCCGACGTGCGGTTGTCTCTGACTAGATTTGACCAGCTGAGTCAACACTCTATACCTGACAAAGGTTGCAGCAACAATAACGATGACAAGAGAACTTTGTAACTCACTGTCTCCTTCTAAGAACAGAGCATAGACTGAGTAGGCCATGCCCGACAGACCCACTATCCAGTAAGTGTACCTCTCCCACCTGGGCAGAACGTCGACAACCATTGTGACAGGCAGTGACAGGGCAATCTGTTCTTGACTTTGGCACTGTAACAACACCGTGCTGAATATCCACAGAACTGCACACGGATGACCGCTTTCTGTAACTGCACAATGAGATAGATAGATAGCTCTTTATACTAAGTGCGCTCGTGATGAAATAACAAGAGGATTTGAGGCTTGATTGCGAACTGACAGGGAAATTAAACCGACGAAATTACCTCAAACGAATAACATTCTAAGGAAGCAGAGAGTAACCGCGAAAGTTTTAAAACAAGCTGAATCAAAAATGGGGAAAATGTAATAATCTTACGTACATTCAAAGCCGTAAATAAGCAAGAATGTTTAAAGACAAGTGAAGCCAGATGGCAGTGATCACAACACACACAGATACAAGTGAAGCAAGATAGCAGTGAGCACATTCCACACAGATAAAACAAGTGAAGCAAGATAGCAGTGAGCACATCCCACACAGATACAACAAGTGAAGCAAGATAGCAGTGAGCACATCCCACACAGATACAACAAGTGAAGCAAGATAGTAGTGAGCACATCCCACACAGATACAACAAGTGAAGCAAAATGGCAGTGTGCACATCCCACACAGATACAACAAGTGAAGCAAAATGGCAGTGAGCACAACACGCACAGATACAACAAGTGAAGCAAGATGACAGTGAGCACATCCCACACATATACAACAAGTGAAGCAAAATGGCAGTGAGCACAACACGCACAGATACAACAAATGAAGCAAGATGGCAGTGAGCACAAGGCAGACAGATGAACCCGAGCAGAGCCCTGGTTGTACATAGCACATTCATAGAGCACATAGAATAATATCACCTTGGTTCTACATAGCACATTCATAGAGCACCCATAATAATATCACCTTGGTTGTACATAGCACATTCATAGAGCACCCATAATAATATCACCTTGGTTGTACATAGCACATTCATAGAGCACCCATAATAATATCACCTTGGTTGTACATAGCACATTCATAGAGCACCCATAATAATATCACCTTGGTTGTACATAGCACATTCATAGAGCACCCATCATAATATCACCTTGGTTGTACATAGCACATTCATAGAGCACCCATAATAATATCACCTTGGTTGTACATAGCACATTCATAGAGCACATAGAATAATATCACCTTGGTTCTACATAGCACATTCATAGAGCACCCATAATAATATCACCTTGGTTGATATCTGCAAATTTAACCCCTGCGCTGATCCCCGTTTGGGGTTGGCCAAACAGGCACATTAATTTTCAGTTGTATATAACAGTAACAGTAAAACCTCGTTAACACGAATTCCAGGTAGCCCAAATTTTAAGATATGAAAAAGGAGGAAGTGATAGTGGTGAAGAAGGATCTGGTGGGGGAGGAGAGGAAGAAGAAGACGGGAAAACCGAGGTGCAGCTTAATGAAACAATTCTAGGTTATAGTTTACTGTAACAGCTCCAGGGTACAGTTCCCTGTAACAGCTCCAGGGTCCAGTTCACTGTAACAGCTCCAGGGTATAGTTCACTGTAACAACTCCAGGGTGCAGTTCACTGCAACAGCTCCAGGGTCCAGTTCACTGTAACAACTCCAGGGTGCAGTTCACTGTAACAGCTCCAGGGTACAGTTCACTGTAACAGCTCTATGATATAGCTCACTGTAACAACTCCAGGGTGCAGTTTACCGCAACAGCTCCAGGGTGCAGTTCACTGTAACAGCTCCAGGGTGCAGTTCACTGCAACAGCTCCAGGGTACAGTTCACTGTAACAGCTCCAGGGTACAGTTCACTGCAACAGCTCCAGGGTACAGTTCACTGTAACAGCTCCAGGGTACAGTTCACTGTAACAGCTCCAGGGTACAGTTCACTGTAACAACTCCAAGGTATAGCTCACTGTAACAACTCCAGGGTGCAGTTCACTGTAACAGCGCCAGGGTACAGTTCACTGTAACAGCTCCAGGGTGCAGTTCACTGTAACAGCGCCAGGGTACAGTTCACTGTAACAGCTCCAGGGTGCAGTTCACCGCAACAGCTCCAGGGTACAGTTCACTGCAACAGCTCCAGGGTACAGTTCACTGTAACAGCTCCAGGGTACAGTTCACTGTAACAGCTCCAGGGTACAGTTCACTGTAACAGCTCCAGGGTACAGTTCACTGTAACAACTCCAGGGTACAGTTCACTGTAACAACTCCAAGGTATAGCTCACTGTAACAACTCCAGGGTGCAGTTCACTGTAACAGCGCCAGGGTACAGTTCACTGTAACAACTCCAGGGTGCAATTCACTGTATCAGCTCTATGATATAGCTCACTGTAACAACTCCAGGGTGCAGTTCACCGCAACAGCTCCAGGGTGCAGTTCACTGCAACAGCTCCAGGGTGCAGTTCACTGTAACAGCTCCAGGGTGCAGTTCACTGCAACAGCTCCAGGGTACAGTTCACTGTAACAGCTCCAGGGTACAGTTCACTGCAACAGCTCCAGGGTGCAGTTCACTGCAACAGCTCCAGGGTACAGTTCACTGTAACAGCTCCAGGGTACAGTTCACTGTAACAGCTCTATGATATAGCTCACTGTAACAACTCCAGGGTGCAGTTCACTGTAACAACTCCAGGGTGCAGTTCACTGTAACAGCTCCAGGGTGCAGTTCACTGTAACAACTCTAGGGTGCAGTTCACTGCAACAGCGCCAGGGTACAGTTCACTGTAACAGTAGCAGGGTGCAGTTCACTGTAACAACTCCAAGGTATAGCTCACTGTAACAACTCCAGGGTGCAGTTCACTGTAACAGCTCCAGGGTGCAGTTCACTGTAACAACTCTAGGGTGCAGTTCACTGCAACAGCTCCAGGGTACAGTTCACTGTAACAACTCTAGGGTGCAGTTCACTGTAACAGCGCCAGGGTACAGTTCACTGTAACAGTAGCAGGGTGCAGTTCACTGTAACAACTCCAGGGTGCAGTTCACTGTAACAACTCCTGGGTGCAGTTCACTGTAACAGCGCCAGGGTACAGTTCACTGTAACAGCAGCAGGGTGCAGTTCACTGTAACAACTGCAGGGTACAGTTCACTTAACAACTCCAGGGTACAGTTCACTGTAACCACTCCAGGGTACAGTTGACTGTAACAACTCCAGGGTACAGTTGAAACTGTAACAACTCCAGGGTACAGTTCACTGTAACAAAACCAGGCTACAGTTCACCTTAACAGCTTCAGGGTGCAGTTCACTGTAACAACTTTATGGTTCAGTTCACTGCAACAGCAAGTGACAGTAACATGTAGAACTGTGGCACTAAGTGACAGTAACATGTACAGCTGTGGCACTAAGTGACACTAACATGTTCAACTGTGGCACTAAGTGACAGTAACATCACTAAGTGACAGTAACATGTACAACTGTGGCACTAAGTGACAATAACATGTACAACTGTGGCACTAAGTGACAATAACATGTACAACTGTGGCACTAAGTGACAGTACCATGTACAACTGTGGCACTAAGTGACAGTAACATGTACAACTGTGGCACTAAGTGATAGTACCATGTACAACTGTGGCACTAAGTGACAGTACCATGTACAACTGTGGCACTAAGTGACAGTACCATATACAGCTGTGGCACTAAGTGACAGTAACATGTACAACTGTGGCACTAAGTGATAGTACCATGTACAACTGTGGCACTAAGTGACAGTACCATGTACAACTGTGGCACTAAGTGACAGTACCATATACAGCTGTGGCACTAAGGGACAGTACCATATACAACTGTGGCACTAAGGGACAGTACCATATACAACTGTGGCACTAAGGGACAGTAACATATACAGCTGTGGCACTAAGGGACAATAACTATACACAGACGAGATTCAAAGACGGCCTGGGAGTTCAAGCAGGTTTTCTATTTTTAATTTTCACCCCCAGGGGATTCGAATATCTGACCTGTGAGACGACATGAAGAAGCGCTAGCCACTGCTCTATCGCAGCTCTTTCTGGTTACAACTACTTAAAATATTGTGTAAGAAACAAGAAGGAAGAGAGATACACAACTTACGCAGACAAAACCCGTAGATTGTAGAATTAACATGGACATGTGATGATAGTAAAATGCTTGTATTTGATAGGCACAGATTTAATGTCTACAATTAATCGACAAAACACATAAGACAACTAATCGCGACAGCTGCATCCATTTAAGTTTCGATAGCTGTATTGATTAATCCCAACTAACCTCCTTCTCTCTAGAGTCTAGTCGTGTAAGTATTCACTCACAGAAACGTCTTTATGTCTCATTTCTGTATCTCCAGCGTTTAATCTCGCTTCTTTGTCAAAGAGGAAACCCACATGATGCTGGATACAGAACTGAGTCCTATCGTCTAGTCTCGCATGCCCATAGCGAGGAAACCTTTATGATGCCGGACACACATCTTTGTCTAGCGTCTAGTCTCCCATGCTTCTAGCGAGGAAACCTTTATGATGCCGGACACACATCTTCGTCTATCGTCTAGTCTGGCATGCTTCTAGCGAGGAAACCTTTATGATTCCGGACACACATCTTTGTCTATCGTCTAGTCTCGCATGCTTCTAGCGAGGAATCCTTTATGATGCCAGACACGTATCTGTGTCTAGCGTCTATTGTCAAAAGTTACAGATTAAATGTATCGTCTTATTTATATTTACTGAAGGAAACTTCCTAATGCTGAATACACGGCATCATAAACGCAGTCGCGCATACACAGCCTCGCATACACAGCAACATAGACACCTCGTCATAGACAGAGCCTCGCATACACAGCAACATAGACACCTCGTCATAGACACAGCCTCGCATAAACAGCAACATAGACACCTTGTCATAGACAGAGCCTCGCATATACAGCAACATAGACACCTCGTCATAGACAGAGCCTCGCATACACAACAACATAGACACCTCGTCATAAACACAGCCTCGCATACACAACAACATAGACACCCTGTCATAAAGACAGCCTCG